GGCCCCGCCCGTCCGCTCACAGCTAATGGCTTTGTTTGCTTCGTCCCAAGTTGTCGACGACGCAGAACGTCCAGCGCGGTGGCGGCGGGGCGAGTCATGGGCCAGCCCGACCCCGACCAACCCCGCCGCGCCACCTCAGCACAGGGGGGGAGGAGGGCAATCACAAGGGCAGTAAAAATAGTTGTCGTTCGGGTCGGCGGGGATAACGCTGCGGGGGGCAGGAAGAAGAGTTGGACGTGGGCGTCTGTGTGTGTGTGTGCGTCGCATAGAGGAGATGATCAGGGAGACCGGGAGCTGGGGGTGAGCGAGGAGCAGGGAGAGTCGGAGCGGAACAAGTAGCTCGGCTCATCTCATTCTCCTATATTTGAAGACGCTGCTCGCCTGGACGTCGTCCTGCTCTTATGACGACGACTGAATGATAACGAGACGAGGACAAGCAAAGAGATAGAGCGGAGGGGATTGGTAGGGGGACAGGAGCAGGACGGCGCAGTAAAGAAAATTATGATGAAATGTGCGGGAGCATCACAGAAACCCGACTGAGCGAGTACGGGAGGATCGGTGCTGACGTCGTCTAGAGGTCAAATGTTTTTCGCCGACAAGGGATGTGTCGCAACTCTTTCAATGCAACAAATTAACATTCACACTGTTCGTTACCAGAACGAAAAGTCCCGCAACAGTGGGGCATTTAGACTCGATAGTCTTGTACCTACTGTGTCCTAATCGGTCCTAATGTCACATTTACTACAGAGAGAGAAAGCGTACTCTTCTCCATGAGCCACGTTGTTCAAGCTGGACAAAATAAGCCAGTCGTCCAGAGGTCAAACGTACCGAGGGAACAACACAGAGAGCGAATGAACACCTCTCCCTCCCGAGCGGTCCTGGCGTTGCAAATTAATTACCGGTGGGCCGTGAGAGAGGCGACGCCGTCCGGGGCTCCGATCAGAGCGCCCCGCTGGCCCCGCCTCGACAAACCATTCGGTCAGTTCGCCAGAGCAGAGCAGCCAGGCCCGCACCTCCCAGGCAATTATAAAGTCACGATTCATCCGCTAGACATCACAAAAGTTTCGCTTTGAGTCCCCCCCTCCCTCCCCCC